AAATACCAACATGGCTTTTATCAACCCTGGCACCAGACAGCCTACAGGCCAAACTGATTTCAGTAGAGTGATGAAGGGCATAGAGGAGACTGGGGGGAAGTCTGCAGCACTGTTTCTCAAACCACAGGGTTGTGACCCCACAGGAATGATGGAAACTGAAGCCAAGTTGCTAGGTGTCCCCATCCAGGGACTCCACCCTGGGACCCCAGGACCCAAAAGACCATCCACAGTGCCCTTTTCTCTTGATCAAAACAAGAGCTGATGCGCACAGTTGCTCACAAAATACTTCACACCCATCAATGGAGAGGACTCCCACAGCAGTTCTGTCTGGTCTGGAGGGTGGCCATTTGCATTTTATAACTGAGGAAACTGAGGCCCAAAGAGGTTCAAGGGCTCAGGTATGGTCAGGCTACAAAGTGGCGAGGCTGGGACTTACCTCTGGGTCTTCTAACTTTGAGTTCATCCTAGTCAGTCAATTCCTCATTTCACCATTTATCTTTCCGTTTCCTAGTACTAACCTGAGAAGATAAACATGTCAACATTTTTCTGCAAATCCTTCTAGACTATGAATAAATATATATCAGGAGAGCTGATATCTCCTGATGATAGGAACTTGGTTTTCTTACTTCTTCCCTTCATAAAAGTCCATCACATTCTCTCCTTCATCTCTTCCCTGAGCCGCACCGGCAGCCCAGAAATGGGGAAATGTTGCTGCCAAAAGAAATCCCGAGAATCACAACACTCTGGCCCAGCAGCACCGAATGTCATCAAGCTCCCAACTGGGGAACAGAAGAGGTTGTGTCAATGCCTATTGTCCAATGGTTTCTAAGACATTCTTACTTGTATTTCCATTAAACCTTTTTATTTTCAAAGCACTTCTACATAGTCTTCCTGATTGATCTTGTTATACCATCTCTGTCGTAGGGATCATTGACAGGCTACAGAGAGGTTAAGGACTTCCTCAAGTCCCACAGTAATAGTCTTCAAGAAACACTTCTCTGTCTGCGAACAGCATTATGAAGTAATTCCTGTGTGCCTATAGATACTGGTGTTCCTCTGAGCCTTCAGCCTGGAAAAAGTTAGTGATGCATGGGTGAGTTCCTTAACGATGTTAACATGATTTCCCACCCTACCCCACCCCCTTCTGGCAATAATACCACAAAATGTTCAAAAATGGCTGACACTTACCATTCAGAACACCACTTTAATATCAGTTTTCTGCCTCACAGTCCTTGGCAGGAGTCTTTTCATAGATCACATGTTGGCGCAGGGCCAAGAGATGGTGTGGTTGGCTCACAGGTCACTGCAGTTTATAAGAAGTCAGCATAATAAAAAGGAAAGCAGATCTGACATCACTGGCAAGGGGAAAATTTTAGTGTTGTGCAAACGAACTAATTGCAGCTGAATAATGTGGGAGGGGTAAAGACCTTGCTGAACAAAGCCAAGCCCAAGGAAGAAAATGGCCACGTAAAAGTCCAACCACTCTACCAAGAGTCTGCAAATCTTCTCAAAATTGACATTAACTTGTTATTTATCCTAAAGTCAAAGGAAAAAACAAAATCTGCTCAAGTGAACTCTTTATTGACCACTTTATTAACCAGGGTGAAAGAGGAGGTGCTTTATGATAAAGTAATGAGAACACACACACAAATGCACCACGTAATTGGTTTCTAAATTGGCTTTGCAGCAAGCTGCGTATCCAGAGTTAAAAGTACCTCTTTGTCCACTAAGCTACTGCAATTTAAAAAAAGAAAAAAATTTCAAGATAAGCTCAGCTTTATAGTTCACTTGGTGAAAACCTAACGCAGCTACAATTATTCTTAGGCCTTGGTCTGTGAAAGACTCTACAAGAGTTAAAAGAAAGCCAGCACTACCTTTAGCCCATAAGGGATTACTCTTTTATTAGTATAGTCTTGGGATTAGTGGAAATGTCTGTCTAATGAATGCAGCTACTATATTTGAGCACATGCCTGAATAAGCTACTTGTTGATTGAAACCTATCTATTTATAAGCACTTCTGCACGTTGTGAAAAATCCATCTGTATCACCACAGCATGGCGCCCACCATTTGAATAAAGGCTCTTTGCCGTTTCACTGTAAGGCCTGTTGAATGAACAGGCAGAAAGGAAGTGTGTTGCATCCACTTCGCAGGTTTTATTCCTCACTCTTGGCCAGTAAAGTAGAGCTACCTTATCTAAACAGTGATTTAGATTGATGTGGATGTTATAAAAACAGAAATGGCAAAAAGGAATACTTTTGTTCAGACTCACCCAGGGTTTTAACTATAATTTGGAAAAATGGTCACAAATAACCCAGACTAGCCATACCTCTGCTATGTCACAATCACTGAATGTAGTCTGGAAAGTAGGTGGATTTACTACACATACTGGGTATCACTTCTTTACATTTCTGCTTATGAATAGCACACGAATAGCATGTCCAACAGAAACAAGAACAGCACAAAGAAAAGAGCCTTCATACACAATTAAATAAGTGAATGCTTTCAATGTTGGGGTTCTCATTACCATACTGAGGCTGCATTTGAGGTAAGGCCAAGCTCTCCAGCTCTGAATGGGTACTTCAAAGTCCATTCCAGGATTCTGTAGTTCTGAACCCCACCACTCTACTCACCAGCCCTTGACACATGCCCCATGGCTCTGCTTACCAGACTCAGTCAGCACCAGCTCTCTGAGCTTCCTGAATTTGGGCTTGGGGTGTAGAGAAGGGATTTCTTATCCACTGAGGTTTAACTCTCCTGCAGTTAGGGTCCCCACTTAATATACTGTTTGTTTGGGAAAAGGCTAGCAAAGAATTTATCAAAATGTTTAAAAAGACAATCAGACCACAGGCTATTATTCACTGACACCTCACAGCCTTTCTCTCCTTGAAGAACTTTATAAACAACGACAGGCAAAATTGCCAGGTATCCCTGGAAAGTCAGAAAAGAGAGGACTGACATCAGCTGACCCCTGGAAGCTTTTTCTAGGCCCAGCATAGCAAGCAGGAATGCAGGCTTTAACAGTCTTTGAATTCTGGCTATTTCTCTATCTAGAGTTTGTGATCTTTGGTTTCCTGGTGATTGAATTATTAGTCAATAAAGATTAGAGGATTGCATCTTTAATATCCTTCTTGTTGACGAAGCAAAAAAGTAATTCTGAAAACAAAATATTAATACTAGAAAACCAAAGTTGAAATTTATAAAAGGTAAGGCATTTGGAAATGGCAAATACTTAAATCATAATATAACAATATGAAGCACCAAAGACCCTATAGTAAATGACATATAACTGTTTAAACAGATATTGTGTGACTGACTTAGAAGCGGGGTGAAGTGCTATTAAGAGATATTAAGAATTTGATCGAAGATACTATTATCACCACTCATTTTACAAATAAAGAAATCAAATTATGTGAATGTTAAGTGTTAAGTGTGAGGAGATGGTAGAGATGAGGTTTTGATAAACCCAAGCTTTCCTTACTTCACCATGTATTTTCTTCAATTATGTTAAATATTCACATAGGTAAGATTATTAAACATAACTAATAGGTCTATGTCTTAAAAAGAAGACATCTAATAGCTCTCTTCTTTGTGAGATCATTCCAAGATAAAAGAGCATAGGGCAGCATCCTGAAGACTTTGGTCCAGCATAGCCTGAGAACAGGACTGGAAGATGATAATCCTTTTGTGACAACTCACACTCACCAACGCCTTTCTACCTTGAATCCAAAGGAGAACAAACTTACAACCCAAAACTTCTAAAACTTGGAAACTCTTCCTCAATCACTTGATTGCTGAAATTTTTGCACTTTTCAGTATTTGTCTGTTTTCTCTTAAGGTTCACAGCTAGGTACTGATAAAGAGTTAATCTTAAAACCTCACTCGCTCCATCCATCATCCATCCATTTATCCACCTAGTCCCCAATGGCTTCGATAAAAGATGTGAGTGGACATTTAATGTTAGCTCATGATACTACCTCATTTTCTTGGTCCCTCTCATAATTATTGTTTCCTGTAAGAGGAACTGCTTTGGGGCATACATCAACTTTTTTTTAGGCTAGTATGATGCTAGGAAAGAGAAGCAGGTGGGTAAGGAATGGAAGCACTGGTAAGCATTCATAACCAAAACCCGTGATGAAGGTGTTTAAAGATTGTTTTTGTTTGTTTAATGTTCAGAATACTTATATTTATGGATTATGTATTTTTAAATTTCCAAAGACAGTTGAAACTCACAAAGAAACAAGGAATAGAAATTATTCACATTTTATAAATAACATGGAAAAAAGCAAGGGTCAAATGACTTATGCATGAACCCAAAATTCGGCAACCCAAGCCAGGACTTAGAATTCCTCACTGTGACTTTTCTAGTAAGATTATTAAGCTCAGCTGCTGCCTTCAACATTTGTTTCCATAGACATTACTAAGAAAGCATTTTACTTTGGCATTTTTGTAATATGGCACCATTTATAGCTGTCTTCACTCATAATAACCTTATTAAACAACCGTCTTTAGGGCAGGCAGTCTACACAATGAGGGTCAGCCTGGTTACTGGTGGCTAATTATTGAAACACAGTTTGAGTTATGTAATTTTTTCTTGCATTTTCTTGATTTAGAAGTTAAACCATGCTCACATTTCTAATTTAGCCAAGCCTGTATCTTTCTGACACAAATACAAAATCTCCAGAAGTGTAAAGGTTTCCATCACCAAATCTATTCTTTTATCACTTTTGGATAAAAGCAGCCAATCAAATGATTCCACAAACGTGTACTGTGTGATTTTTTTTTTTCCTGTTTAGACCAATTTTTTCCAAAGAATGATCTAATTCATTTTAGGCTGAGAGACTAAACCTTATGCTAAAAAGAAAACTCTTTTTGCTGAAATACTTCAAGAATAATAAAAATACTGAATTCAACTGTAACTAATTTTAAAGAAATACGGAAGTTTTTATTTCATGTACTTTAGGAAGTTCAAACATTTGGAAAATTCACAAAAACAAGAATGTTAGCCATAAAAGTGAAATTTATTTTTTTAAAAATCAGTATCTTGTGTTTCAGACACACAGGTATAAGAGACATTCCAGGAGGTGAAAGCACCTTTTTCAGAAACTGTTCCCAGGATGTTCAATATTGATTTCGAAATTGGTTGCTTAGGTCTTGGAGCTCTGTTACTAAGGCATCCATTGCTGCTATTTCATCAGCTAACTCGCTGGAAATTTCTCCACTTGCCACATCTGTAAAAAGTTGCTGCAATACAAAGAACAAAGCAGAACTATCAAAACATTGAAAATCTCTTTAAAATAATACAGAAACAGAGTATAGAATTAAAATTCCTTTTGCATAATAATACCATAACATTGTAGTAGCAATGGCAGTATTTATTCTGTTCACGAACCTGGAAAGGTACAAGCTGCAACAATTAAAGGATGAATCAAACGACATGCCTGAACTTGTAAATTCAAATGAGCTCTGCTCTTCAAAATGGTTGCCTTGAAAACTGATTATTCATTTCAATGTCATAGGATGGTTTTTGGATGAACAGATTATTCATCCAAACCAAACAAGTCTATTCACTGTGTACATAAGCAAAACAAATATATTTTTTATTCAAGTTCATATAAATCATACCTTTTATGCTATTATCTGAAAAGTAATTATGGCTTAGGACTCAGAGCCACGAAGATTATCAAGATTTGGTAAAAGCAAAATGCCCAGCAAAATAAAACTAAATGAGCTCTCCTCCTGTAAAAGGAATTGCCTGGGGAGGCATAGAGCAATGTGCTTCAATAATGCTACCACAGCTGAAACATTTGGGAACGCCTCTCCAGGAACTACCTGCAGAGCCCCGGAATCCAGTCTTCAAAAAGTTCCCTTGGTGATGATTTGCAGGCACCCCACCCCAGCACTGGTCCACAGGTTGGTATGTGTGAACTGATGGTATATGTTTTCATTGTCAAACCAAAGTCACCCATCTACCATAACAATTTTTGTCAAATCCATATACAACCTACTTAATATTTTTTCTGTAAATCAATTTTTTACATAATAAATCTTTTTAAAAGGAACGCTTCATCACCACCATGAAAAAGCAGTAATATTCATGAAATTGTATGTCTGATGTGCTAGTCATATTTTTTCTAATGTGCATTGAAATAAATATGCAATGAAAAGCTTACCCAAGTGCTACCAGTGGTATATATGCCAGTTTGGGGAAAGTGATAATAAATAGAGGAGCGTTGCTTTAATTTAAAGAAAGCATTAAGGGCTGGACTGTAAATATTAATTTCTAAGACTCCTAAGTTGCCCACATTTAGGGTGGTCTAGACACTGGGTCAATAATATCTTCACCAGGACAAGTAACTACCCGGAGGCTAATATCTAAAATGTAACGTGGCCCTAAAGTTACCCCTGATACAATAGAAGATTTAAGAGCAGTTAGCTGATACTAAAGACCTCTTTCTATACGACAATTTTAACTAATTCACATTTCACTCTCACCTTTGCTTTAGATAACAAGCCCTGTAAATTGAGTCGAACTGAAGACAGCATTTGCACAGCTTCTTGGGGACTAGATTTGTTTTTACTGCATTTCATAGCCACTGGAAGATAAATATGGGGAAAAACATCCATAAAAATTGTAACGATAATTCACAGGTACAAAAGAATCCAATTACTTAATTAAGACTTCATAGTAACAGACTAGAAATATTTCTCCATGGCAAGTTTTTTTTTTTTTTGGAAAAAAAAGATAATACTCATGTGCATAATTCTCCCTTTTTTTCCTTCTTTAAGGATAAAATGAGAATTTTGAGGAAAATAGGTGATTTTTTGGTGCGTTACAGATCATTGGGAAGAGACACCCTCCCCCCCATCTCCCCCTTCACATGCACAAACTAATGAAATTAGGCAAAGAGAGAGAAAATCTAATTGAACACAAAGCATCCACAGAAGGCAAAAACAGACACAGCACGTCTTAATGTGGCCTCCCACAATACCGAGTCCCAAATGGGGACTCACAATTGCTAATGACACTAGCCCAAGGAAGTGACATGACGGATATCTACAGTTCAGCTCTCACTGCATTTTCATGCTCAGGATTTACATCACCATCTGGAAGAACTGATATCAACAAGCCATGTGCCTGCACTTGGGGAACGTGACCGCCACCAGGCTCTCAGGGGGGCTGAGCCACACTTAGCATCAGCAGGGAGTGGGGGACAATGAAGTCATTCATCTCCAACGAGTCTGCCTCCAGCATTCTGGAGAGTTCACTTTCCTAAAATTTGAAATTATGAAGGACTATAATCCCCCCTGGCAGAAGGTCCAGCTATTAACACTTTATAAGAATAAGGGAAGAGCTTTATAAAAATAGAACACCTGGTATTTTCCCACTGATCTGTTCTTGTTTTTGTTCTTCTAAATTAGGCTGAGTACAAACAGAACAATAATCAGATCACATCTGAAAACTATACTACAGACTGCAACATTAAAGTTACTTAGTACCCTGGATCCTAGACCAGAGACAGAAAATAGATTCCCTTCTACATGCAAACTCTAATCAACTGGTAGAGGTTGCCTGTGCCTGGCAAAGGAGTTTTGTCATTCATTAATAATATCTTCCATGGCTGGCAAGAACTAGGTTTGACATTCCTATTTCAGAAAAATAATTAGACTTCGCCATTTCTCAGCTATGAATTGAAAGGAAGCCTGGTAATAACAATGGTAAATTCATTTTCAAAGGGCACAGTTAGCCCGGACATAGTGAGGACCGTGATGTCTGTGTCCCTAGTAAAGTTGTAACTACCATGGCGGAGGTATTTGGGCTGTTTATCACCTAGTAACTATGTCAGCAACAGCTATGATTCTTTCTTCAATCCTTTATTTTCATTGTGACAGAAACAAAAATAGAGCAAAAAGACAAACATACACTCTATTAGTCCCCTTCCTCAATTCCATTTCCAAAAGGCATTTGAGACTGAGATAGATAGATAGATAGATAGATGATAGATAAATGAATGAAAGAGAGAGAGAGAGAGAGAGAGAGAGAGAGAGAGAGAAATAACCTGCTGTTTTAAATCATCCAGAAATCCAAAAGAGCAGTGCTTCTGCCATGCAGATTGTAGTTAAAATGCATAACTATTATTTTAAAAGTTTCTGGATGGCAAAGAAGGAACGAAATTTTGCCCATTCTTTCCCAGAAAACAGAATAGCCGAGATTGTAAATGAATAACCTACAAACGATACAAATGGGTACACATGACAAGGTTATTACAGAAAGATCTTAAACAGTATGTAAAGACTGCAACGCCTTATCAAGCTTTCAGAAGTATGTGGCTACTCTTTAAAATAGCAATTCAATAGGGAGTAAATTGCGTGGAGATTTTAAAAAAAATATTTCCTTTTCAGAATTGGGTGAGGTGGAGAATAGTGTTGGGGAGAAAGATTAAAATAGAAAAGAGAGTTAACAGAGACATCCAGTTCATCCTTCCACTGAGCACTGATACACAAAAGCAACAAGGAAAAAGTTAAGATTTATCTTTATAAATGTAAAATATCACTAGAAACTAACGCTGAGCTTCCGCTCAAATGTGCTTATCGTATTGTAGGGGCACCAACACATAATTCAGTGAAGTCAAAGGGGAAGTTAAGAGCATAGATGCTTGTTTTTCTCCAAGTATTATCCTAATGGAAAAATGGTGCTGAAAAATAGTTTAAAATCAATCTTAAGGCCGGCCGAGTGGCTCAGTTGGTTAAGAGCTCGCTCAAGAGTTTGAGCTCTGAGCAACAGCGGTTCGAGTCCAGCCCGAGCTGAGCAGCCGCTGAGCTGCCAACAGGTAGCAGGATGGCTCAGCTAAAAAAACAAACAAACAAACAAACAAAATCAATCTTAAGATGCAAAATAAAGATTTTCTCTAAAGTACTTCTTTAACCGACATATTTATATTCAATAGGTTGAACACCTTTACTTAGTGGTTACAGAAAGATAATCTTGGTTTTGACCATTATCTAGCCAGCTGTTCACAGAAATATTTAGAGTTAGTAGGCTGAAGTAGATAAGATAAATTCTTTATAGTAAATCACGACCTGCTGCAATTATGTACATAATACACCGTAGCATGGGTTTCCCCAAATACAGTACTATATCCACAAAGGCCAAAGGCATTAGGACTGAACGCCATCATGTGACCCCACCCACCATGAGGTGGACATAAGCTACATAATTCTAGCTGCCCGACCATCCTTCCACTGTTATCTCAACCTTTTCTACAATGATATTCAGCTATCCAGAGTTTAGCACGTCTGCCTTATCGTCAAGGGATAGGTAGCCCAGGAAATTGAATATTTATATATTTTTCTATCAATGATCTCAAAGGCCGTAAACAGAATTATTAACGCTAAGCCCATTTCTAACTTGTTTGAATATTCTGTTACTTCTCTAAAGGCAAGTTAAACTTTACCCTTGGTTCTTCATTTTTCTCTTTTTAGTTATGAGTCCCTTATCATTCAGCTCAGATCTTCTACCCCAGAAGGAACAGGGTGGGGGCAGAAAGGCAAGGGATTAACGTTTAAATCATGCATAAGATACTGTTAAGTGTTTTAAAAAGATCACACTTTTTATGTTTTTCATTTATGTTTGTTTTCATTTATTCTTTGTAACTACAATAAGTAGGTATATCCCCATTTTATCCATGAGAGAGCTAAGGCTCAGAGAAGTTAAGTAATTCGCCCAACGTCACCGAGCAATACGTGGAGGAGCTGGTGCGGGAGCTCAGTCTCCCTGACCCAGACCGCTGTCCTCCTCCTCGTCCCTCACTGGCTCCCTATGTGCTGTAACTATTAGCTGCAGAAGCATTTAGAGAAGGACTTTAGGATGGGGTCTCAGTTCTTGTGACTCAGTTAACACGGCGACTTCGTGATTTTATCTGAACTGTAATCCCAGGGCATCACACACTCATATTCAAATATAAACATAAAAATACATTACTAAATTTAACTGTGTATGTCTCATTAATGCAAATAATTAAAAGCAGCCTTTATCTGGAATACAGTTACCCAAGGAGCACACAACTTTTTATGTAAGGTTACCCAGCTCTCAAATATCACCCACTAAACTTCCCAAAGATAGGGATTCGATTATATTTTTTATTTCTTTTGCATATGCCACAGCTCTTTACATATTGCTACGTACTCCAGATATTTATGTATTGGGTTGTTGGAAAAGTCATGACGTATTTTTTTCTATGTTTTTCATTGCAAAAATGCGTCATGACTTTTCTGACAACCCAATATTTTGATGAACAAATATTTTCATTTATAAAGGAAGAATATGAGTCAGGAAAAGTTAACAGATATCCTTAGTACTTCAATGCACATAGCCTCTGTGTGAAGTGATGGTTAAATACAGTTGTAAAGGTATTTCATATCTCTAAAGTCTTTAATACCTGTCACTTATTCAAACAGCATTTAGCCTCTCCTATATTTCTTATTGCTCGAAAGTGCCTACTACATAGTAGTTGGTCCATAAATATTTGCTGAATTAAATACAACAATTTTAACACAATGAAATACTCTGAAATTATTTGTAATGAAACTTTACTTTTGACTAATACTTTTTCTTATCAGTACAGGTACATTAAAACATGCCATAGATATCAAACATATCAAATACCATGTGCAAGTCCTAAGGCTCTCTGAACCACTTCCTTGTAGGATGTAATATCTTTCTCCCAACCACTGGACTGTGTGTCACACTTGTATGCCTTAGAGAGATACTGGAATGCCTGAGTAAAGAAAAAACAACATTCAGAATAACAAGCATAATAAAATTCCCATGTCAAGCTCTGTTTCCTGGAAATCATAGGAACAAATCCCAGCTTGAAAAATAGCACCTGTGTTATGCAGCACAGTCTTATTCTCATCAAAGAAGAGATACAGATGCACATCCAACAGCAATAAGCAATTAAAAGAAATCAAATGGATGTATCTGGATTGAGACACTTCCCTCCAAACAAAAAAATATAAAAGTCCTGTCTGGAAATCTATAAGTGTACACATTTCCTTACCATTTGTAGCTATCAGCTTAAGAGACACGTTTAGAGAATGAGGTGTGAACTTGGTGAAACCATGGGACTACTAGTAGGTGTGTTAGCTCACGGAAGTTTAAAACACCGTCTTTCACAATCCTATCCGTGAGGATTCTTGAGGGAGAAGTCAGATCAGAGAATTCAGGGTACCCTTAATTCCGTATAGGCAAGAGAGCACGTAATTCAAGAAGAAACGGAAGGACAGAGAGTAGGAGTGTGTGTGTGTGTGAGCATGTGTTCTCGGGGCTGACAAGGCATTGGCCGAAGCCAGCTGGGTGGACTGAGGGGGGAGAGAACAACTAAGGATCCCAAAGACTCGCTGTACCGAGGCTAACTCCAAACTCACGTGAGGAGGACATTTGATTTGTTGTGGATGTTTTGAAAAGAACCCAAGACAATTATTCCAACCTTGGGAACTCCGGAGGCTCCTTGAAGCATTACGATAAGAGGCTAAAGGTATGACTGGAGTGTAACTGATGCTGTACGCTTGTGAGACGGGCGCAGGACAACCTCTGCCAAGCACTTTATGTCCAGACTTTAAAAGCTCTTCTCCAGCTCTTCTCCAGTCTTATCTAGTTCCTTTTTATTTTATTTTTTATTTAGTTTTATTTTTTTAATTAAATTTATTGGGGTGACAATAGCAAAATTACATAGGTTTCAAGTGTACATTTCTGTAATACATCACCTGTATATCACATTGTGTGTTCGCCACCCAGAGTCAGTTCTCCTTCCATCACCATATAGTATTTGACCCCGTTTACCCTCCTCTACCATCCCCTCCCCCCTTACCCTCTCTCTGGTAACCATGAAACTGTTGTCTGTGTCTATGTAGTTTTGTTTCTTTGTTTGTCTTGTTTCTTTGTTGCTTTCAGTTTTATATTCCATATATAAGTAAAGATTTATCTGTAATGATATATGTACCCCGATGTTCACTGTAGCAGTATTCATGGTGGCCAAGACAGGGAAACAGCCCAAGTGTCCTTTGATAAATGACTGGATAAAGAAGATGCGGTACATATACACAATGGAATACTATTCCGTCATAAGAAAAGATGAAGCCATTTGGGACAACATGGATGGATCTTGAGATTACTATGCTAAGCGAAATCAGTCAAAAAGTCGAGGACCATATGACTTCACTCGTAGGTGGGCTATCTAGTTCCGTTTTCTCTTTCCCTTTCATAGTCCCCTCTTTTGTCCTTGTACCCCATCTACCTTAGTCCTTAGCAATGAGCCTGCAGAAAGGGGTGCAGAGTAACGAGGGCCAGCTGTTTGCTACAGTTCCAGCAGGGGGGCAGGTTAGAGAGACCCTCTTGTAGGAAACAGAACAATTTTATAAGAAAAATTCATGGCAAGAATAAAGATGAATGCTTGCAAGTCTTAACCTGCCCACAACTCAAAGTGCTTATGTTAGACTTTCAATCAAAGCTGAAAACTTGAGCACATTGATCTTATCTTTCAAATTATTAAACTTTCCCTCCAACCATCAAAAAAACCAGATCCACTACACACATGTGTTCAAACAAAAGGCAAGAGCCAGGAGGAGTGAAGACTTACCTTTTCATTTTCATCAGGCTTTTCACTCTGCCCACTGCCATAGACTTGGGCATACAGCCTCCAGATTTCTCCATCATTTGTCACTCTTGAAGTTACTCTGCCAAGTAACTCCTGCAGCTTTCCTTTGAGGCCAGTTGCGACATCCCCACTTCTGTCAGTCATCCCATCCATCACTGCCCTCACGAGGATTTTAAGGACCTTAAAAAATGTACAGAAGAAACTGGTAAGCTAGAAACCACCAAGCAATAACAAAAAACAAAGGGTTACCATCACAATCATCAATGATGATGGCAACGAAAAACCTTGTGAGACCTGTTAGAATATCACCCTTACACTTTTTAAAAATAAAGTAAAAGTCAAGCCATCCTGAACCAGCCACTCTCCGGAATCGCACACTGTGCCGACTGCCCCTTCCCAGGCTCCATGGGGGCTCCTGTTTCACAGGGCCCTGAGCTCGGTGCTCTCCGCTCGGCTCTGAGTGCTGTCTTCGAACAAGCGGACCCACACCTGCAGCTTCACGTGTATTACCAGGTCTGTTCTCAGCGTCGGCGCAGCTCCAGCCAGGCACCTCTCTGGAGCTCCATGACAATGCACATCAATACCTACCAGGCATGTCCCCAACATCTCACACTGCATCTATCCAAGAGTGCAACACAGGTCCCAGGGCCCTCTTCCTTCTCTACTCTCAGAGTCGACCGTCTCGGCATCAACCTAGACTCGCTTCTCTCCCATTTCAGCCACAGGTAACCAATTTGATTCAGCTTTCCTAACGAGTCCTAAATCCAGCCTCTCCCACCTTAGCCTGGGCCTCATTATTTTCCACCAGGGCTGCTGCGGTAACACTCTAACTGCTTAAAGGTCCTGGCCCTCCTGACTGTGGAAGACAAACTGCTCATGTGTTTGCATTAGGCACGTGGGGTACCCAGAAGGTCTCTCTTGTCTTTCCAAGGACCCCAGGTGCACTCAACACTTTGCAACTTCTTGGCAATCTTGCTTTCATTAGTCTTCATACTTTCTACCCCAGGTGCTTTGAACGCTGGTCAATGGGTTGAGCCCCACAGCAGGATTTACTGTCATAATGAGGCACATCTGTCCTATCTACGTTAGATCGTGTATCTCAAGGCAGCTTCCGGGAAGCATAGAAAGTGCACCCTCAATCACCCACTCCTGTGATGGGGGCCAGCAGAGAGCCCTGGGCCCATCTAAAGCACCAGCGTGCCGAGAGCACTCTAAGACCTGGCCCCGGGGCCGACCCAGCGGCCTGTTAGCAACGCGGAATCCTGGATGGAGATGCTGCCTGTCTGGGACTGAGATTCTGCATTTCTAACAAACTCCCAGGTGATGAAGGTGTTGAGGTTCCACAGACCACACCTTGAGTTGCAAGGTTCCAAGAGACAGGGTGTTCATGTCTTTCTTCTTACTCTAAACTTCAGGGAGAAGATCACATTTCATCATCGTGTATCACCAGGATCTAACACAGTGCCTGGCACACAGCAATCAATACTTGTGCCTGAAAGAAAGACTGAGTGAACACACCTCTATCAGGAAGCGGCACTAAAAGCACTGCAGTCAGTGGGGCGCGTTGCTCGTGCATTCTGACCCCTGCGTGAGACGTGGCTGAGGCAGGGAGGCTCCCCTAGACCGTGAACACTTGGGAATGTGAGCTCAGCCTCACGGGCCTAATTATACACAGTTGTAAAAGCGGGCGGGAGAACACTCAGTTGTGCCTTTTCTGTCTGGTTTGGATATCTCTGCCTATAAATTCACATTACAACCCCACATACGTAGTTTTCAATCTGAAAGTAACAAAATTCACATTGCAATCCCACTCATGGTTTTAAGTCTGAAAGTAACAATACACAAGAAGAAACTGTCTGAATGGGCACTACTTGTTTCAAGTGATCATTCTATAAACATTTCAAGAATTAACATGTTTTGAAAGAGATGGTCTGTTAGAACAGTTACTAACATGTATGTACAAATAAAGCATAATAAATTAGTGAAATACTTTGGTTTTTTTCTGGAATCTCACTGTTGGCTCAACATCCCCTCACTTCATGTTGGCTACATGAAGAGACAACGGGGGACAGAAAACGTTTGGCCTTTTTGCCAATAAAAGTAGAGAGCTGCACTCTGGTGTTTGACAGAGGAAAAGCTGGTGAAGAGTGCGGGGGGAGCGGGGGAGAAAGAGGTGGGAGAGAGAGAGAGTGGGGAGAACTGCAGAAGGGTAGGGAGGCAGGGTGTCTGTGTATTATGGGGGCAGGGTAAAGGCAAAGGGCACTGCAGGTAGGCAGACACCAAACACCTACCAAATTCACATGCGGCTCCCACAGAAAGCGGGCCACTGAATAGGAGGGGAAGTAACGACAAATGTGATCCGTGGTCAGCTGAATTTGGAACTTAGGAGAGAGTTCCATATGGAGGCATAGATGACAGAAGTTACTCACGGTCACAGCAGCTATTGCCGAAAGGGGCTACGCAGGGTAAGAATCTGACTGGTAGACTCTTAAGGAAACATGAGGAGGAGGGAAGATGAACGAGACGAAATCAGACAGCTCAGAAAGGTGGGAGAAGGCGATGTCATGGAAACCAGGGAAGGAGGGCATAACCAGGAGAGCACATCTACAAAAGAGCAGGACGGAGGGCTCCCCTGGGTTTGGCAATGAGAAGGGTTAGTGACTATCCAGAGCTAAAGCCAGACAGAGCAAGGAAGGCAGGGGAGATTATGGAAGGCAAGGAGGTTTACGAAGAGAAAGAAAACATAAAAACCAAGACAGTTATTAACATCATAAAGAAACAGAAAGCAAGAAAACCCCCAGTCACAGTATCCTTGTAATACCCACTTTGAATATTGTTTGTATAGGCATAGAATGTTCATAGAAAATATTCACTTAACAAAAAAAATAATAATATAAGTATATTGGGAAGAAAAAGGGAAGTACTGGACATGCTGGTTGTAAGAGCGTTAAGTCCTCATGTACAAAACAGGAAGTCAATTGATAATATCTAAGCTTGGTTAATACAAAATAGCAGTATATAGCTATTATTATGAAATATGAAAATGTGCAAACGGAAAAAGAAACGCCAAAGAGTTTCATCCCTTTTGGGGAGAAGGATCTTGAAAAGTGGAAAGAGGTAGAGCAGGAAATTGCTATATTTTGTTATAAGCCTTTCACTGCTACTTAACTTGTAAAACTGTACGTATGTGTTATGTTAATAAAATAAAAATTTAATTTAAAATAGAGAGAGGGCAAGAATAAATACATTCAAAGATTGGCGAAGATGAAATAAAAAATGGCAACATGAATATTCACTTATTCGATATTACTTTAAAATTAAATCCTTGGCATATGTGGGTGGAGGGGGTAGGGGGTGGTGAGGGCATTGGGAGAGCTGGTAATGATCTGACTCTTGCCCTGGGGGCTGGTTACACAAGTGTGTTCCCTTTGTGAAAACTCCTATGTTCTGTACACTTTTCTTCACGTACAATTTAATAAAAAGTTAATTAAAAAGTTATTTCCTGCAATTAAGAAAGCCCCATGAACTGTAGGAAAAAAAGTTATTAAAATACATTAACAGATGGAGCTAATATGCAATCTTAAAAAGTGCTTTTAGAGCGATAACAGAATTATTTTTAAAAACCATTAATTTCATAATTTACTGCTAATATCACCATTTTCCTCCCACTAACTAGTGAGAAAAACCACTTTCTAATTATCCAGGCTGATTACAAAAACAATCACTTTTAACACATATTTAACCCTTCTTTAGGAAATAGGTATTTGTAACTTAAGAGGAACAAAGGATGTTGCAGTCGAATTTCTTTGACTAAATGAATCACCATGGCGTACAATTTCCTCTTGGGCAGTCCACAAAGTTTACCAGCATCGCATACTCCTCCGCATCATCAAAAGTGAAAAAATTTTTTAAACAGATATAAGTGCTTTATCCACTGGAAATTGGGTAAAAATGGATAAATTGCTATGTCGAGCAGTAAATACTTAAAATTATAAATTACTAAATATGTAATAAGCGGCTGAAGGATAGAAAATTAAAGTTTAAGAATTTACCGCTGGAACAATTCTTGGGGAAACAGGATCCAAGATGTGGCCACTTGGAGGGGTTGCTCAACCAGAATAAGATAAAGACAAAGACCTCTCTGTCCAAGGTGTTGGACGGACCATCACCAAGTGTTCAAGAACAGCCAAATCCAGAGTGCAGGAGGATACATATATACTCAGGTGCTGAAGTCCACCATGAATAAATACGGGGGACTGGCTAGGAAGTGGGTAGGTAGTGGTAATGAGGACAGGTCTTCTTTCTATATCACAGAACTGTTATTTCAAGAGTCAACATGCACATAAAGAGCTTCGAAAACTGTAAATCAATATAGACTATAAACTATCATGATTATCACTGGCCCTCAACTTCCTTACTCTGTCAAAGTAGACAGCAAAGCCCATCACAGCCTCACTCATGAGGTGCCCCTACGTTTCCTGAAGGTTCAAAATAGACGTAAAGAAAAACAGAATCCACCACATGATAAACAGCCCTTGATAACTCCCTACCAAGGGTATGGCTAAGGTGGGAAGCGGACAGCAAAAGATCTAGGAGGCCTGGCTGGCCCCCCGGTTGTGAGTTCTCACCATGTGACCCTGACTTCACTTAGTTTTCACAGTAACCCTAGGAAGCAGGTACTTTATTACCCCCACTTTACAAATAAACGGAGGCACGAGAGGTAAATGAACTTCTTCATGGTTACATAGCAAGTGAGTTGTGGGGCTGGGTTTTGAACACCAGTGATCCTTGACTCCTGAGCTTAATGAGGATGATGAGAAGACAACAGTGATGGTAGAGGGTGCACACACATATGTATCTTCCCATGAGCAAGGGGCTATACAAACACACTTAGTCCTCCTAAAAATCCCGTGAGGAAGGTGCTCATGTTATTTGCATTCTGCAAATGAAGAAAGTGGAGCACAGAGAAGTGAAGTAGCTTGTCCACGGTCACACATCCAGGGAAGCAGGCGCTGGACTTGAACCGGCAGTCCAGGTCCTAGATCGAGCACTCAAGCATTTGCTACATTAATTTAGAAGGCACAGCTCCTTACTCTTCTGTTATTTCTTTTACACTGGAAGGATCTTTTACATTTTAAGTTCTTTTACATTGGAAGGATTTCTCTTTTGTGAAATATGTG